TGGCCACAAAACAGGCCAGAATAAAGTAAAATTAATACAAAAAGAAGAAAAGAACTGGGCTTCTGGGCTACATCTTGACTCTCTGACTATTCAGACTACGGCACACATTCTTTATTTTACGTAATGACGGCAACTTGCTCCACATGTACACACCTACATCCTATTTGACATAATCGAACTGTTTGCACATCAATTTTTCGTTGTGAACTAGGCTTCCTTAGTCCTTTCTGCGCTTCAATTGTTAAAAACATGGAATGCCAACTAGCCTCCCACACCTTGCTCCCGTGCGGAAACTGAAACGTGCTGCTTCTATGTGAGCACCATGGTCGGTGCCCATTTTAACCCCATAGGCTCGAAATAATCACAATAACAGAGAAAGAGAGAGGGGACACTGGCACAGCCAGTGGCGGTTCAGTGCCCTGATATACGTAGCGCACTGTGGCACACCGCCGGTAACGTTTGCTGCAATTTTCCAGATTGTGTAGTCTGCAGAAGTCCGCACACACATAAATCCAGAGCAAAACAACGCTGTTCAAAAATGAAAACACCGTGAAGTCACGTAAAAACAACGCATTCAACCGCCAGCTTTCCTTCACCAGAGCGAGGCGAGATCACAAGATCCAACCCTGCACGTCACAGCGATTACAGCGCTCGCGTCTCCAGTGGTGGGCCTTGCGCCCATTAGCATGTTAGGCGTATGCCGCGTTTTTCGCGTGCGAATAAGGTTGACGTGCTGTGAATGCCGTCATTGCCAGCCACCACGTTGGTTGTCGTTGCAACGGCAGATAAAACATTTTTCTGGCTTGGATGTTGGATCGTCCCAGTGATAGATATATGGCACCGTCACTGGGCCAACAGGCGCGGGCCTTTGCTACTTTATATGGTCGAATGCACCTTGCAAGCGAGCCAAGAAGCTGTGCCCTAAACCGTGAAAGAAAAAAAAAAAAAGTGGGGCCGGGTATAGTGGTTTAGAAAATTGCTTGGCGTTGTTCGAACTCGCGCAGATCGCTGCCTAAGCCACCTTGGCTGCAGTACACCAGTGTCCCTCGTCAATGTGTAGTGTGATTTGGAAGGTGCTTTTAGCGCTAGCAACAGGACAACGGACATTTTGTTCTATTCCTCATGCGTGTATTGGCTGCGTAACTTGGAGTACTAGTAGTACGGCTGATGTCTACATGATGATATTTCTGCTGCCCCCCTTTCTCTCCCCCCCCCCCCCAAATAAAACCTTGTGCACAAGTTGTTTTGGCCATACCTACGCCTTGGTTGTATGAATCTCCCGAATTTCAAGGCTGCCAACTTGGAAGAGCCACATTTGAATTCGTAGAGCCTGACAAAGAATTCGGCAGGCATGCCAAATGCTGATGGGGACTTTGCTGAGTGGGGTAATTCAGAATACCACCTTTATTCAAATAGCAGTACTCATGTTCTCTCTGCACGATTTAGGTGGGCTGAATGTTCTGTATATATGTTTTTTTCCTAAATGGTAGCCTTCTTTTTTACGCTGCTCGATATTTGGTATTTCATGATGAAAAATTTGTTTTTGTTTTCTCATTTCCTTCTCCTGATTTAGGTGGTAGTGCTCCAAAAGTAATATTTTGCTGCTCTAAAAATTGCGCCTGATTCTGTTTTAACTATTGCACCCTTGATATTACAGCGTGAGGTGATCAGTGGGCAGCTGCTTAAAGACGATGGGGTTACGCTCAGTGACAACTCTCGGGCCATTTATGCCACTTTGCAATACTGTGCTCTTTCTGAATAAGTATTGATGGAAGTCGCGCTCTCTGTGCTTGTGTCCTTTTCCTTTGTTCGTTGCACATTGATAACATGACATAAGAGCGTTTTACAATATAATATGCCTAGTTTACAGGCTTAGAATTAGCATTTGTCACCTAACGGGAGCCTGCAATAGGTTAGCGTATGATGCATGTGCAATGTAAATGCAAGACTTTGCATTGGTTATTGTAAAACTTTCTGTAGTTTCACTTCCTCCATGATTGATCCAATCGGTGGGCTAATTCATTGAATGAGAAGGTTAAAGGGGCCCTGTGATGCTTTTTTGTCTGCATTTTCTAGCCCTGGAGCTCGTAGAGTGCGGAATAATGAGATTGCCACAAAAATAATTAACAATACAGAACTTACTAGCCTTCAAACTTTGAAACCTCACCAGATGAAAAAAAAAAAAAAAAAAGTTCCCTTTCGCATTTCATTTCCCCACTGATGTCAAAGGTAGTTTCCAATTCTCTGTGCACATCTCTCTTTGTGACTCTCCTTACAGCGGCTGTCGTGTAGTACGCCGAGGGTTAATTGCAAGTTTTCTTACACTTTCATATTATTCAAAAACAGAAATCCTTTTTTTTATTTAATGAAGTATGAATAGTGCTATTATATAATTTTTAAGGCACGATAGTACGGCCTATCTGGGACCATATGAATATTACGCGTGACTAGTTGATTCACTGTCGTCATTTCCACGTGGAAAAGCTTCACTTCCGATCTCAAAAATAGTCACTGTGTGTCACCCTAGTCGAAAAAGTGTGGTTTCTTCATGGGAATAAGCTCATAACAGCTTTGTTTCAGGCGTCGCCACTTGGAAATAATATTGGTGCAATACTCAGTTTCAGAAGAAGGGATGAAAACATCACACTCAACTTGTGTTGCAGATCCCCCTTGTGCTCAGGCTGAGGGGGTGTCACCCCTTGGAATTTTTTTTCAAACGGGATAACTTGGAATTGCTCGACAGTTAAGTAGAACTGCGTTCAACATTATAAATGGGTGTTTTTCGATTATCTTTATCACCTGTTCATTTACAATAACTACACATGTACCTCTGCAATAGAACTCCTAAAACAAACCAACTTGCCTATACTCACGGAATGCAAGTGCTCTTCCCGACAAAAATTTTTATTTCAGCTTATAAATAAACATTACAATATTAACATTTCTGACATAATTACTTTTTCTTCTGGGTATGCAATAAGACAAAGGGATCACCTAAAATAACTTCATTAGGTGAAAAAAATAATTGTTTCAAATATTCCATTTTTCCAAGGACTCTGACTTAATGGAATAACCTGACACTAAAATTACTCAACCTTCACTGTCTTCATTTGCTGCAAATATCTGTTAATTACTTTCCAATATGCAGCATGATCTTGTTGAAAGGTGTAGTTTTTCTTGCCATTTTTTATGTAGTTGATGTTCTGTATGTGTGCTGCAATAGCACAAAGAATGTATTTTTTCTCATGACCGATCTTTTTGTCTTTTTGTATTACTTGTATTTTTTTGGAAGCAATGTTTGCTATCCTTCTTTATTTTGTTGCCTGAAATGTTTTATTTATTTATTCAATACTGCCGACTTGAGGTCCAAGCAGGGTAGTAATACATATACAAATATACAAATACCATGATATTTCCACCTTGCAAGAGTCCTCTATGGGGATTGCAGTAACTGAAAAAATAATAAAATATAACTATTTACCATTGTGCGGCACTCCTCAACTGTGTGGGAATATTGAAATTGCAACTGTCGCTCGATGGGCTTCAGAGAAGACTCAATAATACAATGCAATTTTGTTAACTGAGAGCCCATGTATATTTGTTTTTTTGCAATTCGATTTCAAGGCATGCATTTGATTTTTACAAAAGTAAAAATAAAGCCATAATTTATGATACAGACGTAATGGCTGCTGTAGTAAGAGGTGTGATATTTGTGGATTTACGTCTCTGATAGGGTTTGTATGCACAGAAATGTTTACTTCCCAATGCATTGCAGTGCCAACAAGATGCTGCACTGTCGTGCAATTCCATTACTTTGAAATGGCGTATCAGTTATTAAAGACGATAGTCTTTCTTGGGGACCTTTGACGGAAAAATTTTGATATGTCTGTATGTTTGTCTGTAACTTTGTCGGTTTGTCTGCCCTAACGATACCTCAAATGGTACCAAATGACCAACCCCATTCTCAGCACCCACCAATCATACTCACGGTTTAGCGTTCATAGTTGTGCGATTGTCAACTAAGAAGCAATTATTGCGCATATCTGAGGCGTCATAACAACACTTCGAAGTTTTGTTTGTCTGCCTTTATACTAGAAGAGACACACACAAGTAACCCCAAGGAATGTAGCGTTTATTGCGCTGCGCTGACACTGCAACGCGATGCTCAAAAAGGTGTTTCCAAGGCTTTGCTACGACGTCACAGTGGTGGCACCTGCCCGTCGCTTTGCGTTCTACACCTTATCACCTCCGAGACTGGCGCGCATCTTTCTTCGCGGGCTGCATGCCTTCGTTTTCAAAGATAACTGCCAGATGGCACTTGTGTCTAACGTGTCTCGATGCGCTCGTTCGCCTCCGCTACACCATTCACAGCGCCTCCAGAATACCATTCACCAATTTTTCTGTGCAGAACATCAAATAAACGTTTTGTTCACTCTCTCCAGACGCAAAACTATCGTCTTTCCACTACATATGCGGTGTAACATGCATATCTGGAACCAACTTTTTTCAACCCTTTCCCTCAGTAAGTGAATTAGCATAGTAAGCAAGGCACTGCTCAATTCATGGCCCAAAGTGGGTTGTGCCAAGATGTTCAAGAATCAGATGGATAGATATATGTGGGGTTTAACGTCCCAAAACCACCATATGATTATGAGAGACACTGTAGTGGAGGACTCCGGAAATTTTGACCACCTGGGTTTCTTTAACATGCACCCGAATGTAAGCACTTGGGCCTACAACATTTCCGCCTCCATCGGAAATGATGTTCAAGAATCAACCAACTCGTGCGCTTCATAACTACATGGGGGAGTGGAGCCTCATTGTCCACATAATGGGGAGTAACACTATGCCAGCCTTAACATATTAAACCTAAGCATGCCATCAAAATGCGGCGACTCAAGGAGTGGTTCGTTAATGGGGATGTAGCGAGATAAGCGAGGGCAGTGTCCAAAAGCCTGCGAAGATAACACCATTGTGATGGTGCATTGAATGTGTCGCAGGCAAGGTGATGAAGGGCCTGCGCAAGGCAAGCCTGCAGGTAGCAGACTCTGGCGTGCCCCTCTGGGAGCGCTCGATGCTGGAGGTGCACGATCGGACAGCCCCGGGCGGCCGCCTCCGGACTTCCCGCCCAGCGAGCCGCCACCACCGCCGCCTCCCCCGCGAGGCGTCGGCCCCAGCAGCTCCGCCGTTCACTCTCTGCTTAAGCAGCCACCGCGAGCGCCATCTTCTGTGGGCGCCTATAGCAGTGCCTCATCGGGCTCGGCGGGGCCCCTCAAGGGTCCCAGCCCGGTGCCCCTGATGGGCGGCAGCCGCCTCCTGTACCCCAGCGGCGCAGCACCTCCTCCCCCGTACCCGTGCAGCGGCAGCAGCCTGTCCTCGGCGCCCTCGTACGCTGCCTCGTCGAGCTCGGGTCGGCAGAGCCCCGCCAACACGACTGTCAGCAGTAGCTGCAGCGAGTACTCAGTGGCCTCCGGGAGCTCCAAATCGCGCGCTCTGCCGCCTGCGTACACGCCGCCTCCACCTGCGCAGTCGCCCGGTGGGCGCAGGGCCTCCACCTCCTCCAAGACCCCTGCAGGCGTGGTCGGCGCGCCAGGCCAAGTCGCAGTCTCCAGTCATCATGCAGTCGGTCAAGAGTACCCAGGTCCAGAAACCAGTCCTCCAGACGGCCATCGCTCCCACGGCGCCACTGACGCCCTACAATTTTGCGTCGTCAACGTCGACCTGTGGGCCCTCGCCGCCTTCTCTGTCAGTTGCCTCCTCGAGAATTCATGAACCGCCGCCTTACCCGAACCAAGTGGGAGGAGGTGGCGTTGCCTCTGTTACAGCCGTCCAGCCGCCACAACCCCAGCCACCTCCGTACGCGGCACACAATGGTGCACCTCCGCCCCCCTATGTGCTGCACCGGCAGGACCCGCCACCACCTCCTCTTCCGCCCACCACCGTGCCTACCACAGAGCCGCCAAGCTATGCGTCTTCCGTAGTGGCGCTGGCGGCACAGAGGGCCGCGGCAGCGGCCGCGGTGTTGGGAGGCCCCAAGGCACCACTGCTCGGTGGGCGGACAACGTCGGTGGCCACCACTACAGCATCGCCAGACTTGGTGACCACAGTGGCCAGCATCTGCTCGTCACAGGTGTCGGCTTTGCAAGGAGGTGCACCACTGGGAACACCAAGCAGCAGCACAGCGCCGCGTAAGACATCTCCTGTTGCCACGGACACAATGAGCTCGGCATCGCGGTCCGAGTCGCCTGTGTCATTCGTGTCGGTGACATCAGCCTCATCGCCGTCCACCCAGTCCGACTCAACCCACGACTCGGGCCGCGGTAAGACTACCCATCAGTCGCCCATTCCCGTTCGGCGGAACTGGCCCCACGAGAAAGAGGAAGAAAGACGTGCCTCCAAGGTAGGTGTTCGTAATGTGGTTCTTGAAATGATGGTACACTGAATTGTAACCATGAAACCTGGTGGTAAGTTGCAGCTTATACTTCTGTCACACTGGCAACCAACAATCTCCATTTACCTCCGTTCAGCATTCAACTTCCTAATGGAGCTTTACAAAAATACGTAGAGTTGTGGCAATTAGACCCCGTAGTGCAAGCTTTCGACGGGAGCAGCACGGTGCAGAAACGGCGCTGCTTCACTTGTAGAAAACGTCCCATTTTTCACATAGTAGTTGCCTACACGTGTCTCCTTTTTTTCATGCATTCTAATAAAGCTGAAGTGAGAAATAAAGCTAAAGCGAGAAATCTCGCATGTGTATAGTAGAAACAATACGGTGCAAGACTTGCCATTGGCAGCTTGATGAAGTGTTGTTTCTAAAGAACACAGGCACTGAAGTCCTCAACAATAGAATTGAAATTGTGCCACACAGTGTGTGATGCTACACTGAACTCAAGTATCTTAAACTTTATGAGGTTACTACAACAATGTTGTTAGCTTGATTGTCCCCGTAGCAGTAGCTATGTGGGAATGAGAGTACTTCATTGAGCCCAAATAGTCATCAGAATTTTTCAAAAGCACCATTTAAGTTCTACGCTGAAATGGAGGCTGCGTGACATGAACTGCATCTCTTTCAACGAAAAGACGAAGTGCTTAAACGAAATTCCGTCATAGCCGTGTTACAAGGGTATTGCCTTTTGTTCTGTGCTGTTTTTTATGCATGTTTGTGAGAGCAGTAATTTGGGCTGCCACATGCACACCTGCAGGGTGCCCACTACGCCATAAATAATCATAATTTTTGTGTAGTAGGGCACTCACTATGTTATCCTTCGTCATTCTTTGGAGAAGCGTGGTATTCGTCAGTGCACTTGCAAGGAATTTTGTGCAAATTTTTTATGCAGTGGCTGACAAGGATGAAGAATTATGCCTGAAGGGGTATGCGTCGCAGTTAATCAGTGAAAAAGAACAGGCTTTTCTTATGAGTTGGATCACTGAATGACTCAGTTGTTACAAAATTTGCATTGTGTGATGCCTGGTTGTTTCTTTGCTGTTCTAAAACGCTTTATTACTCATATTAACGCGATTCCTTTCCCGACATCAAGCCTGCCTAAGGAAAATTTGCGCCGGAGTTTCAAGTACTGTTGTGGCTACTTGATGGAATACTCAGCTGGCACGCAGCAAACCTGGGTTCGAATCTCGTTGTGTTCTTGGTGTTCTTATTTACTAAGTTTTTTTCATTTCGTGCGATAGTGGTTACGGACACCAGTGGCGGCGGCGGCGGACAACTACCGCGCAAGCGGCTCTTGTTGTGATCTTATAACAGCTTTTGCTGTAAAACAGCGCAGCTACAGCGGACGGACATGTCATGATTTTAATGTGACAGTTTAATCTCCCTCATTCTTGCTTCGCATATCATCGATTCTTACAGTATGTGGGGTCTACCAATTTTTTTTCTTTGCGGCTTTGGTTACATTGGCTGCACTAGCTCAAATCAAGTGATATGAATCATAGAGTTTCCTATCAATTTTAGGAAATGCTATCGGTGAATACCTTTCATTTACTTAGTCAATGATTTAAACAACCAGCCGCAAATTTAACATGGCAGCAAAGGGGCCTGTGGTGGCCATCAAAGCTCATGGCCTTGACAAGAATGCGTTCATCGAAAGCCTGGTTTGGATTACAATTGCTGCGAACATTCGAAGTAAAAGAAGGTGCAGCAGCGGCGAGTCTACGTGCACTTATGTGTCTTGCTTTTGCAGTGCCAGCTAAATATGTCGCTGTCGGTGCATCCGCTTGTGTCGTTTTTGGTGATGTATCTCCCGAAACAACATTTGTAAAGGTGTAAGCTGTTTCTTTTCAGTGCTTTGCATGCATTACTTGAACTCTGTATCAATTTGAATGCTTAGGAAACGGGCAAAATGGAATAAGTTTTCAAACTGGCGATTGTGGCGGTGGCGCGTATGAAGGGCAGAACGAATATGAACGTTTTAGATGGGTGCGGACATAGTTTTCCTACCCCTCTAGCATTTTTCCCTTGAATTCTCCAGGACTGAGTTTTTTTCATTTTGACTTCACAGCGCGCTCGCTTTTCTGGCCGTCTAAGCGGCGAAGTGAGCGAATTTACCATTAGTTTGGCGCTTTTGCTTCCTCTGATGTGAAGTAAGTGTAAACATGCCTTTAAGCGCTAGCAGCGTGAGTGAGGAAATCGCAGCACTTTATTGAAAGTTCAAAAGAACATTATGTAATTTTTTCGGCACGAAGATGTTGACCCCAATAAAGTTCTTGTTTATCTTTATGATTACTTTTAACTTGTTTTTGGTTCATACAAATTTAAGATTATACGAATATTTTATGGGCACCCATCGAATTTGTGTCATTGTGATTATACTGTACTAGTGAGATCAATGAAACTAATGTTCAAAGTTAGCATGTGGTGTCTCGAATGTGTCTTCTTTTGTAAGGGTCTCTAGCGTGCACTACCATTAATTATCATGCTGCCATACCAACCAAATAGCCGCCCTCTTATACACTGTGTGGTTTCATTTCATTTCATTTTATTTCCTTAAAGACCCCTTGCGGGGCATTACATAAGGGGTGGGTACATAAAAATTGAGCAGAAAACAATCGTTTGTCCTAAAGTGAAAGATGATTAGTGATACTGGTTGTGAAGGTAGAAGTACAAGTAATGGCAGGAATGTCGCCTGAAAGGCTATTCCAGGCAACTGCTGTGCGAGGAAAAAATGATGTTGAAAAAGTAACGGTGTGTGCACGTGGGCGTGCGACTTGAAGAGGATGATTAGTTCGTTGAGAGATGTGCGCTGGGGGAACAAAATAAGGTGGCATGCGCATCGAGCTGTGAAAAAACTTATGAAATAACGAAAGACTGGCGATACGGCGGCGGAGGGAAAGGAGGGGCAGTTGAAGTTCTGCCTTTAGTGAAGATACGCTGACGTCATGGGAGTAAGACAGACTGGCGATACGGCGGCGGAGGGAAAGGAGGGCAGTTGAAGTTCTGCCTTTAGTGAAGATACGCTGACGTCATGGGAGTAAGAATTATTGATAAACCTAGCGACACGGTTTTGAATACACTCAAGGGCGTCTTCAAGATTTTGTGCATCATGTCTTATGTTTTAGTGCCAAATATGCTGTTTTTCTTACCATCGCGAGTCAAGCATGCATACTCGCAGAGGCTGTAGCAGTAAATGCAATGAGCTCTCACTTATCTTGCAAACAATTGTTCATGAAGCTATGTATCTTGCAAGCTATCCCGATCAGCAAGAAAAATGTCACCACTGCTTGTTGGCGGATGTCGGAGTGCTCAGTACCTAATCTCAAGCTCCAAAGAAGCTGTTTTCGACTTTGGGATGAGCAACAAATTTCCAGGCAGAAAGAACCGTAGCTAACAGGTGCTATTACCTCAAGTAATTACCCTGCTAGTTTTAAGCAGCTAACCAATAAGCCTTTGTTTAATTATGTTTTGATGAGGCTTCTGTTGAACTAGTGGTGGTGACCGTGATTCGTAATGCCAACATGCTATGTCTCAAAGCAGAAAGTGTAGTGGGCGTCATAAATGCGTTTGTGCCATAGGTCAGGTTTTGGCATGCTTTCATGAAATCCTAACCGCAGGAACAGCAGGGGTGCAACCGCTGCATCAGCTGAGCCAATTTGATACAATTCCTGATTTTTGCACAGAGCTGCACCAGAACCGTCAAATTTGCTGAAATTGTACCACACTACACCAAAGTGTCCGTCCTGCCTAAATATCTTCTCAGTTGCACTTACCGTATAAACCGGACTATAGGTCGAGTGGGAATATAGGTCTACCCCCCAAGTTCAGGTTACTGTAAAAGAAAAAAGAAAACGAAAACGAACCCATAACTGTTGAACCACATTTATTCGCGAATTGGGCGCACCACACCTCGATCGTCGGAGCTTCCCTCAACCACCATCGCAACTGGATCCTATTCGTCCGACGAAGCACCACTGTCTTCCGAAGACGAGAGTTTGTCGCTGACAGCCTCTACAGTGCATCGCCCTCCATGCCATTCAGCGAGTTGCTAAAGCAACATTTCTTGAAAGCCTTTTCCACCATGGAGTCTGGCAAGGGACGCCAGGTGGAAAGCACCCAGCCACAAACAGCGCTCGTGTTGTCCTCTTTGCTTTCCTTGTGTCGCCTTTCGTTTCACGTTTCTTCTAGCACCTTCGTGCACGCGCTCCAGCTCTTATCACCATGGATTCTAATCAACTAGCCCAAGTAGCCATTCTAAACAGTCACAAGCGGAGGTCTCTGTAGGCGGCTTGTCGGTGTCTGGGTTGTCGCTCGACATTCACTCTTGGTACTCCAGCCGCACTCAGCCCTTGAACGGCTTGTTCAGCACAACCTCGAGCGGCTGGAGGGTGGATGTCATATCACCTGGTATCACGGCGAGGTCCGTTTTCCCGTCGCCGAGTGCGTGTTTCACAGCGTCGGTTAAGTGACCACGAAACGCATCCAACACTAGCATGCTACGAAGACGCAGCAGTGCACTTGCCCAACGGTTCCACACTACTCTTATCCATTCGAGCATCATGGCCTCGTCTATGTATTCCTTTTTGTTGACGCGAATGACAACACCGGGCGAGAGCACTTCCTTCAAGATTGTCTTGCGTTTGAAAATGATGAAGGGCGGAAGCTTTCTACCATTTGCCGTGCATGCCAGCATGACGGTGAAGCACGAGTGCTCGTTGCTAGTGGACAACAGCTTCACATCCTTGTCGCCGCGCTGCGTGATCGTGGTCGACGAAGACATGTCCAACCACACGGAGGTCTCATCGGCGTTGCCAATCTGCTCCATCATGTAGTCGTTCTGCTCTCGAAGCCGGTTCACGAAGCGCTGAAAGTTATAAGCTTGTTCTCGAACTCCTCGGGCAACTTCTGACAGATGGATGTGTGCCGCCGAAGAGAAAATTCTTTGTCGAAGAGAAATAAATCGACGCACCGAAGAGTTTGGTGCACAAAACTCTTCTCTCGTGAGCCTAGCTTCTCGAGCGAGTTCCACGGCTTTCTTGCGAATGTTATCCTACGGTCACTGGCAGTGAGCGCGCACAAACTTCCCGTACAAAGTGCGCTAGCTTATCCTCCAGCTGCGAATGAACGGCACTTCATCCACGAAACGACATTTTTTGAAAATTGCACATCCGCAGCTTCTCATTTTGCGCCCTCCAATAGCGCACACTTTTTTCCCGATATACCAAAGGGGGGTTGAGCAGCCATATTCCCGTTCGCTTCTGCGAACTCAACAACATTTAGTTTAAACGCAGCTGAGTACTGCCTCCTCGTACCGCAACTCATATTGACTGAACGAAAAAAAAAAAAAAATACCACTAAAAATGCAGCACAATTTCAAGCGGAGCGAAAACTCTGAGCAGATCGGAAGCAAATCCAAATCACGAACACAAAGAAAACAAACAGGGAAAAAAAAAACAGCCTGCGATTGGATTTGGATGCGGTTAAGGCCGCGTCCGGCTTCTCAAGCACATGTAAGTCACATGTTGCCAGACAGCGGTGCACTTTCGGCTAGACACCGCTGTATAAGACGAGGGGCGACTTTAGGTTAATATTTTATTGAAAAAATCTCGACTTATATTCCGGTATGTACGGTACTTGAGCGAGAAATGGAGGCTACGTTGGCCACCCACATTTTGCCTCATCAATCATACCAAGCGCGCAGATTCTAATGCTAAACTATGCGGTTGAAATATATACTCATTAGGTCAGCACATTCACGAAACGTGATAGACTTAGTAACGTAACAACACCGGGCACCTTTCGGTTGGCTGACTGCAGTAAATATCGATCCGTGGGACAACGCAACCTAAAGCCAAAAATGCCCTGCCATAGCCAACAACGCTTTGCGACAAAGGTGAATTTCCTAGTTGGTAAACGTCACTACGGCATTTTAGGCACTAAAGCTGAAAGCATGTGCCGTGTTTTCTGCACACCAACTTGTCGTGCTGAGAATGCCAGCGTTACCAGTGACCTGTTTGCTTGCCACAGAAACGGCGCATAAAACATTTTTCTGTCTTGATTTAACGTTGTCCTGGTGATGGATAACCAGTGCCGTCGCCGGGCCAATGGGCGTGTATCGTTACCTTGATCGGCTCACGCTTGTCTTGATCCGAGCGAGTTGACTCATGAGTCAGTGCGCTGACCTATGACTGCAGCTGCATTGCCTTTGTTTCTCTATTTTTTATGTAAGGTCTCAATGGATAACATCACATTGTGTGTTTTCTGCGCTGCAAACAAACTGGGCTCAAGAAGAAATTCACACAAAAAAAGCACTTGGAAATAGGAGGTGGGTAGGAGGTGCTGTGCGAGTTCGGCAGAAAATGCGTGCTTTGTACCACCTGGCACAGTCACCCTCGAGCACAAGTGCCGCTGTGTTTTAGATTGGATTTATCGCATACTTTCATACATGTTGTGCTCTAATCGTAAAGTTTTTTGTGGAAGCCATAGACAGGTTACTTCGCTTGCTGTAGTGGCTGCATTTTTTTTGGATGGGTGAGGCTTTCATTCAAATAGACTTCCAGTTTGTTGCTGTCATATTCATTGCTTCCCCCTTGCGGTAAAAACTGTCTTTTTTTCTAGCCAGCAAGGCTTTTCAATGTGTGGCGATTGTCGAACCTGAGTCTAGGTTGCTGTGCTATGGGCGACACTTGATGGTAGCAGAATGGCTGCAACTGCACACTGTATTAAACCTGCAATTCTTTTGTTTTTACACTTGATGCACTGGAGCTCTGAAGAGGACTCTGCTGCTGAGGCATCAAATCGTGGTCGTTGGATCTCGGATACCGTTAGATTTTCTCACGTAAAAAATTTTATTTTTTCAGACTGCATTTTTGTGGCACTTTCAGTTTTAAATTGGATCCTCTGGCAATGATACCTTGTATATTTAGTGGAATTTCAATTTAAAGAAGTTTTGATGTAACTATGTAAAATGTCTATATTACTGGCTTGTTATAGCGAGGTTTAAAAAAGCTCTTCAGATGGGATTATGACATTCTTGCTTTTTATGCATATAGGGAGTGACATCATGGGGCGGTAGGGCGTCAGCCTGTCATGGAACAAAACCAACTTCTGTTTCACGGGAAAAGGTGAACTTGCTATGCATGCTTTCTTTACTTCGACACAATGAATAAAACCTCCAAGCAATGAAGCCAAGGAAAGCATGGGATATGTTATTATGTGGCTTCTCTACTCTAAGGTATTGATTGCCACTTAAATTGAAAAGAGTCAAAATAGATGAAAAGTGGCACCTTTGAGGGTCTGAACATAAAGGTTGTGGGTTCCGTTGCGATTGTCCAAGAGAGTGATTTGTCGGTCGCTTTAATTCCAGTAAGAATGTTTACACCTCAATTGAGAATGTCCCCCATGACAGTCAGTTGTAAATGAGCCCCTCGGACAGCTGGCCTTCTTTCGGTCTGTCTTTGCTTGTGAGTGTGGTTCTATAAATAGGCCAAAAGCACTTGTCTGCAAGATGTGCTGCAATGGCTGGGGTTGCTTTGTGAGAAAATTGCAGTTTTCTTGAGGCATGCATTGTTAAAGCTCATTGATGCCTTGTGCTGTGTAGGTGCGTAACTATTCTCCTGAGGCATACAAGTTCTTCATGGAGCAACATGTGGAAAACATAATGAAGAGCCACGAGCAGAGGCAGCACAGGCGCCAGCAGCTCGAAGCCGAGATGGCCAAGGTTGGGCTGTCGGAGGAAGCTCAGCGTCAGATCCGACACATGCTGTACCAGAAGGAGTCCAACTATATTCGTCGCAGCCGGGCCAAGATGGACAAATCCATGTTCAAGCACATCAAGCGCATAGGAGTCGGTGCCTTTGGCGAGGTGGCCCTCGTCCGCAAACATGTGAGCAGCCCTTTTTTGTAGTATGTGCTGTAATAGCTTAAAGGGGCCATGACACGCCATTTTCGATCCTTTTTCATTTTAGCACATTTGATGGAGTGAGCAATTTTTTTTAATTAGTACGTGAGCTGCCTGAGGCTCTGGTAACACTGTCACACTCGCAAGCCGTGACATAACGAGCAGCTATATGTGCGAGCGACTGCATTCAGGGAAAGGATATTGTTTTGTGGTCAGCTGCTCGTGAGGTCAAGATAACTTCAGCTTGGCACTGAAATTGAATTATCCGTAGTGGGTGAAACTTTTGCTGTGATGTCACAGGTGCCATGGGTAGGTGGAGTTTACGGCACTGGAATGTTCTTTTACTGTCCAATTTTTTTCATCTGTACAGCTGCAGTTCTACAGCCAATGTTAGATATATCCAACTCGGAGGGGATAGCGAAATAATTTGAAAGACAAATCATGCGCATTTAAGCCTTTTTTTAGAGAATTGCAGGCCTTGAAACAGTTGTAACAGATGCTAACATGACGATTCGCTTACAGAACGAGGTGCTTTTGTAAGTTACCACACTTTGTTTTGCATGAAAATATGCTTGTTGGTACTTTGTGAGCGTAGTGCGGAAGAAACACAAGGGAAGATGCTTGTCTGCGTCTCTTCTTGTGCTTTGTGTTGCTTCTTGTGTGCCATCAAGTTCCACTTATCCTCAGTATCATTGAGCATGAGCGGAACTTTCAAGAATTGTAGTAAACGCTATCATGATGCTGCTCAATATCAATGAGGAGCGGCAGCATTGGCATCGTCATAGCCTTAATGGCAGACTTCCACAGCACTAACGTCAGCCATGATCTCGGTGCAGGTCAAGTTGCTCGCTTTCTGAGGTGGTGTCCTGGCAACATTGGGGAAATAAAAGTAGAGTTAGCAGAGGCGCCATATGTCGCTGTCAGCAGTCATGACGCTTCTGAAGTCGTCAGATGCCACCAAAGCCCGCAAGGAAACAGTTTTCGACAGTACTTTACTTGATGTGGCGCTAAGAACCAATAATAATTTTTATCGCTACGAGTGATTCGGTGTTCAGTTCATCTCCCGAATGAGGACTTCTCAGGAACGAGGCGACAAGTCCACAAGCCACAAGAGGCGATGCTGCCCACAAACGACAAAGAAATAAGTCCAAGTACTAACCGTCAACATGTTGGTGATAGCGACATCACTTGTGGCTTTGTAGCAGGCAGCAGCTGCCTTTGCACACACACACAAAAAAAGAGCTAGAGAAAGCATAGCCTCCGAGATGTATTCTCTAGAACTGAATACATTGAATATACTTGAATAACAGTGGTAGTGCGAAGAAACAGGGCACAAGGTAGTAACACCGAGACACAGTGCTAGTAGCACTCTATGCATCTCCTTGTTACTATCTTGTGTCCCGTTTCTTTGCACTGCCATGTTTATTCAAGTATGCCGTACCAGCATGCCCGCCTTGCAACTTTTACCAAAAGCACGTTACAAGGTTGCACATCTTGAAGGTTATGTTTTTCCTATCTGCAGGCCATTGTGTGCAAACATTGCAATTTGTCAATCTGGGTTTGCACTAGTTGGTTATTTTCTTCGAAAACTGACATAGAACTGGCTAACACACGCGAACGAAAAAGAGATAACAGGACGGCTGATAACTCTCAACTGAGTGTTTATTTTCAAGAGTAATAGTGTAAATACGTATATTCGTACACAGAGTTCCAATCATAGCACATGAAAACTTGTCGCATCAAGAAAGGATGATGGATGGATGCTATGAGCGTCCACTTTACAACAAGGCAGTGACATATGTGCCACCAGGCTCGCTAGAAAAAACGAAATTTTTCTTTTTATGTTGGCCTAATGCCTTATCTACTTTGATTAAATGGATCTCATTATAACAATGCAGGCGATGGCAAGGAAAATGATAAGTGTAACCTTAAAAGACAAGAAGAAAGCAGAGTGGGTCAGGGAACAAACCGGGGTTAAGAATATAATAGTTGAAATCAAGAAAAAGAAATGGACATGAGCCGGGAATGTTGCGCATAGACAGGATAACCGCTGGTCATTAAGGATAACTGACTGGATTCCCAGAGGAGGCAAGCGGGTTAGGGGGAGACAGAAAGTTAGATGGGCAGATGAGATTAGGAAGTTTGCAGGTGTAAAGTGGCAGCAGCAAGCACAGGACCGAGTTGACTGGCAGATCTTGGGAAGGGCCTTTGTCCTGCAGTAGACATAGTCAGGCTGATGATGATGGTAATTATAACAAAGAAAAATATGAATTTGTGTTCTATCTCTCTCAATTCATTTAAGTTCCACCATCGGGTAGCTGACACAACAATTACCGGCCCTCTTGATTAGGGCGGCTTCAATGATCTCTTTCATATTCATTTCTACACAGTTAAACCTAGATATAACAAAATTGATATATTCCCCGAAAAATTCGTTATAAAAAGGGTTTCTTTATATTCAGGTTCGGTACGAAATTTCGTATAATAAACATGCAAATTAAACAAAAAGGGGGACTGAAGGCAGAGCTAATCTAAAACACTTATTTTACACTAAAAACTGCGTTATTATTGCGATAGCAACTATATGGACACTCTCGGCAGGTTTCTGCCATCAAAACCATGTTCCGTAAGTAGTCCAAATGAATAACATGCTCCCGCGCATCGTAACTTTCACGAGTGGGTAATGCGTGCGAGTGCTGCTGAAGCAGAAACCAAATGAGTCAGCCCATGCCTTTTTCTTGAAAGTGCATAAGATAACATCTACCGCGTTTTGAAATTTCTGTCGAATGCTCAAACAGAAAGTAAACCACCAGTCTTAATTGAGCATGAAACAACGCAGGGAGGGAGATCGCTCGAGTAGCAATAATGAACTTGGATTTTAAGGGCGGTCCTTGCTATCTCGACACGTATCAGTGCGGTTTAACTGAGAAGGGACTGTGTGAAAAGAGCACTTCTTTCTGGAGCGGATGTATTTGCTCACACCAGTGTTTTGTAGGAGTTCCGCTATATGTGATCCCAGGCTGCCAGCCTTACTTCTTATAACATTACCATTTTTTTGCTATCACGTTCATTGCATTGCATTCAACGCGCCATCGTGTTGCCAGAACTAATCGGCTAATCGCAAAAGCTACCAGCCTGCGAACTCGTTGCGCGGGGCAAGATCGAAGCGCATGACAAGTCGACCTCTGTAGGTTCGTTACCACCGTGGCCTCAGATAGTTTCGATCAGTGCGTAATCTGATATCATCTCGGTAGCGACGGCACGGTTGTCCGAAATTAAGAAAATGCACAGTTTTGCCGCAAAAGGCGAAGCAATGAATGCGATATCAACAACTTCGAATGTAACGCTGTGAACGGCAAGCAGATCGAAACGTACAGCGAACAAATGACGCTCGGAAACAACATACACAGGACAAGAGAAAACTAACGTTTACCACTCGACACAACGCGCTGTTTGAACAAAAACGAGGTGTGAAACGGGTGGTTGTGGTGGTTAGAGGATGAAGGAGGGACCTAATTTCTGCAGCATTAATCACAGGTATAGATATAGATATAAATACGAACGAGTGCCCCAATTGTTACTTCGCTGTTTGAAAAGTGCATTCTTTCTGCAAACGGTGCCTGTCCAGCAAGCGAAGTGATCTTTGTGCACCCGGCAACTAAACGCAATCATTCCGGATTCCGGTCAGAGTTGAAGGCCCGCGTGATTCTCACCACTGAAGGATAAGCATACGTGGGAGATAAGTGCACGTCAGCGCATTGTAACGAGCTGGGCGCCGAGCGCGGGCGTTTTTTTTTTTTCCGTTTCTTTTTTGAGTTTTTATATACTGTATAGATACGTATACACATACGATGCATGACGGCGGCGACGGCAGAAAGCAAGGCAAAACTGTCCATATAGTTGCTATCACAATAATAAAAAAAAAAGCAAAGCTGAACATCCTCAGTGGCCACACCATGTGCGCACAGTGAAACTATGCACGCGCGCACAGCATCGAAAATGAAGAACGGATGACACGGACACAGACACGGATACCGCGGAAAACTATTCAGTAAAGTGCCTCCATATGCAGCGCGGCCCCGCATAGGCGACGCTAACTAAGAGCGTGGCACTGCCAACGCGCAAAAGTAGTTTTTTTTTTTTTTAATTTTGACTTGGAGGGGGCACACCGACGCATGCGCCCGTGGCGGCATGAAAGGCGGCATTGCCGAAGCTCGTAGGGTGCAGGTTGGCCCGCCTGCCGGCTTCGCGCTCAATCACTAAATCGAGCGCAATAACGAGCGCTCGCTGTCGCAGTGCGCGCCGCCGCCACTTCATGCTTTGTCGGCAGTGGGGCAGCCGCGGAAAATGCATGCTCATACCAAAATGCCAAAATGCGGAGCAAAATTTCCTGGATTATATGTGGAGAAAATTCGTTATATCACGGTTGTCTCCCGCTGTTACTTTGTTACGTAGAGGTTGCAAATACATGTGCTTCTATGGAGTAATGGCGGAGAATAGAAAAACTTTGTTATATCGAGGAATTCGTTATATGGACGTTTGTTTTAAGCAGGTTTAACTGTATACCACTCTATGAACAACGCTTCACACACACATAATTATTACAATGTACAGACCCGTGTCTATCTCGATCTCTGCCCAACTTTTGCTTATATTCCCTTAGCCTACCATTCAGTCTCCATTTGTTCTTTGGGTAAGTAACGTAGTGTATCAATTCCAGTTTTCTTGTAGCAAGGTTTACATTGGGCAGCTGGAGCGATGTGAATTATGCCCCGATATCATGGCCACATGAAAACCATGCACTTTGCAGATCATGCCACCATAAGATGTGTAGTACAATAAAAGCTCGTTTATCCAAACCTCGTTAACTCAGAAATTCAGTTAACTCGGACTTTAGGCGCGGTCCCGGCAGAAGTGAGTATATTTCGGTGGGGTCAAATGAAAAAGGTTGTTGTGTCGCGCATTCAAAATGTGTCACACACCCT